AATAGATGATACTGAGTTAAGTGAACCCAATGTTGGATTGAGTGAAACATGAAAAGTTATTTGCTTGTTCATATAATCAATCCCATGTATGACTATTGCTCCTTGTAGAACAGGTCTGGACTCTCTCTCTGAATTTAGTTATTATGCAACTCAATAACTTATCATTAAGCAGCCGCATCCTATGAGCTTTCAGGAATCTAAAGTCAACTGGATTCATAGCAACATAAAAGTGCAGAATCCAGTGCTGCACAGAACTGACCAGTTGATTCTGGCAAACTGGCAAGGAGGTCCAGAACAAAAGAGAAATCTTGCACAGGGGGTTGGTTATGCATACCTCAGACACAGGAACTAATGACCAAGAGGGAAAGAGGTCACAAGTAACTGAATGATTGGCTATGGATACTTCAAAAAAATTCACCATGAACAAAAATTCTTTCCTGTACCCTCATCCAAACATCCATAACCAGCAAATGCAACTCTGAGAGATTTGTTTGACAAGATGAATGTACCCTCTTTAATTATCTAACAGCAACAGTGTCAAATGGAACAGGGATGCCATTAATCTTAAATCACATTCTATAACCACATGCAGATGGAGCATATTGATCCATCTGATTAATGCATTTATAGACACTGCTATTAGTTTATAGATTAAACCAACAAAGTTTATTTTAAAATAGCAAGGTGTGCTTTTCTTCGAAGCAGAAAACCACTGCCTTTTTCATCCAAATACTTCATCCTTTTTCAGCAAGATTTCAAAGCCAAATTCTAAACTGTAGGTTCAAAGAATGAAAGGAAAACTGCACAGTCCATTCCATGGATTGCACCTATGGATGTACATTCACATGACATGCTTGTGCCAGGTCCAAGACTACTAGTTGCCCATACAGAAGCATAATAAATGAAATATGCACATAAAATAAGTCCCAAACAGCATAAACCCTAAAATGTGAGCACTGACTGCCCAGATGATCTAAACCCATAGATTTTGGATCTGACATGTGTGTATCCTAAGGAGAAGCTACCATCTTCATGTAGAAGGAGAGATGTGACCACCTCATTCAAATACATAGGAGTAAGGGCATCATGCACTTGGCCAAATGTTCATATAACCTCATCTGTATAGGCTACATATTCTTCGCCCTCACTTGTTACAGAGGGGAAATTGCACAACGTGAGCATCAAAGAAGGGAAGCATAGGGAGAAAATCCCTTATGAGAGCTGATAATGTGTGCGATAAGGTGTGTGTGTGTGGTGAATGAGCAGAAGCACACACTACCATTCTTCCATTCCACAAGAAATAGCTGCATCCCAGATTAAGTGCATGAACTAAGTGAAAGCACAAGGCCCGGGGTAAGAGTCATGCTAAATGATCCCAGGTTCAATTCCTGACATCTTCAAATAGCACTGGGGAGAACTTCTGTATGAAACTCTAGAGAGCTAAGTACTAGTGAAAGTTAGTACAGATAATCCTGTGCTAGATGTACCCACAATCAGCTTCCTGTCCACCAGGCTAAGTTTTGATATGGGAAATACTGGGCCTTAGTTGCTATGAGATGCATCTGTGCAGCCATCAGCAAACCCATTTACCAAAAGGGTCCTAGGCAAACCTAGCCCAAAGAAGACGTTATTTGCTTGTACTGAGCAACAATGCGGGGGTGGGGGGGGTGGCAGTCATTACACTGGTTGTCAGAAAAACCTGGAACAGACATTGGGCAGTGAGTTCAGCTCCATTAAAGTATTCTGTAGTATCATTAACACAGGATGGGGGGGAAAGAGTTAATTAATTAATTAATTAATTAATTAAGACATTTATATGCCATCCTTTGCAGCAGCCTCAGGACAGCTTACAGAAATAAAAATAACAATATAAATAACGATATACTCTTATAAATAGCATTAAAAACATTGCACAGTAAAACAATTAACAACAATATATCCTCTCGTAATTAAAGAAAAGAAAGAAAAAATAAAAGAAAATAAAAATGCTGCTGTATACAATTAATTATATTATTAAAATTAGTGGTATTAGTTACTAAAATGATGGTTCAATAAAAAGGTCTTTACCTGGCGCTGGAAAGAGAGTTGGCACCAGGCAGACCTCTCTGGGGAGCATGTTCCATAGTCTGGGTGCCACTTCAGAGAAGGCCCTGGAGCAAGGCCTCCCCTGCCGATCTTAAGGGGCGTGAGGGCATATAGGGCATACTAGTTCCACTGCCTCTCTGCCACTGCCTTTACTGTTCTCCACATAGTGAGGGCAAATTTCTGCTGTGGGAAAGCTTTTGTATCCAGGTAGACTCACCATCCATTGTAGAACTTTGCACAGGTAGGGTTCTACATCACAGAGGGAGCCTGTATGGGTACCAAAGTCTCCTCACTGCAAAAGTTCATTCTCAACACTTGGGTTGGGTTCGCATGACCTGACAAACCATTGTGGTTTCTTGCACAGGATGGTCTGTCATGTTATCCAAACCTGTCATGGTATTTGATCATGGTAAGTTTGGTCTTTAGAAGTCATGGTAAGAAACAGTGGTTTGTTCTATGGTTTCTCCATACCACTGCGACTTGTCATATTGTCTGAATCCATAATCCTGGGATTCAACTACTACTGAATCCTCTGGAAAGAATTGCAACTGCAGGAGCCACTCCAAGCATCCCAACATGGGACTGAATTTCAGGCATGGAGGCTGCAGGAGGCTTGAGCAAGGACTGTGAGAAACCACACTAGTGTAGGAACCACGTGATCATCTGTCAGGCACAAAACTGTGCATCGTAGAAAACATGCAGGATCCCCTGCCATGACAGCTGAGCCCAGTCATGGAGTGTGATGGGCACAGCAATGGGACAAACACTCTTGTCACCAGTCTGCTGTTGTGCACCCGCTTCCTGTCAAACCTCTGGTGCACTTGCAGAAGACTAATTGTGCTATTTTTAATGACTCACATTCAAAGGAGGAGGAAACTGCTTGTGAAACTACATGGCCACAAGCTGCAGCTCAAGAGCTTGGGGCTCAGCCAGGGGAGGCAGTAGAAGAGATTAACTCAAGGGTGGACAGGGAAGTAAATCATACCAACCATGGGAATGATGGGGAGTTACAGCCCGCAGGAGAGGATGTTGAAATGTGAGATTTCTCGAATAGAAACCAACCCCTTCGGAGGTGAACCCGGTGGCTTGGTGCCAACACCAGTGAAAAGCCCAACTGGGGATGCAACAGGTGGAGTGGAAGCATGCCTGTTTCTACAGAGTGTCCCCTCCAGGGTAAGGGCACAGACAGGCTCATAAGGGGAGTTTTGGGGAGTAATCCTTAATCTGGGAGAAAAGAATCACTTTGTGTATGGTCAGAGACACAACTGTATGATTTACATGTAGAAATAATAAAAAAAGTTTTGCTAAAAAACAGCTTGTGGCTGCTGGGAGGAAGGAAGCCCAGCTTGTGATGTCCACTCTCTCACATACTAACGGTTCTTCTGCTCTCCTTACCTTTCTCCTCTCTTCCCTGGTATGGTGATATCAGATTGGTGGACTAAAGTGGGACGGCAGGAGGAGCCACTTCAGTTTCAATTTCACCCTGCTATTGGTAAGTTTATTTCTTTCCCGATTCCAGGACAAAACTGCTCACCTCCCCGCTCACTACCACCAAGTCTCCTCTCACTCTCTCTTCTTGTTCTCAGCAGCTGCTATTCATCTATCTTTGCTGCCTCTCATCACCCTGAGATCCTCATCCTGAGAGCTTTCTGAATCCCCACCATTCAATAAGCTCCAGTTCTACTTCATTCCAATGGCAGGTACTTTTTTTTTAATGGACAGCAAGGGAGGTTTACTTTATAAATTGACTGACTTAAGTGGCAATTTCAGAGTTGCTGTTTACTTCCTCGGTTGTTTAGGGCCTGTGTTTATCCTTCTGTGCCTCTTCAATCTTTTTCCATTTCCCACTCCAAGTGACTTCTCTCTCTTTCTACTCACTCCCACTTTTCACAACAGAGACAACCCCCCCCCCCAAAAAAAACCCTAACAGAATTTTTAGACTTTTCCCTTTTTGTCTTCTGGAGGCTGACTGAGAAACAAACAAGCAGTAGGTCTAAAAGGAAGCTGTGATTGGAAAGGTAGAAAAATACTGAGCAGACTTCTTTGGAAGAGAGAAAAAGAATACTCCCCTAGCCTTTCTAACCCTGATTTCAACAACAGAGTCTTGCTTGCTGTATGAATGAGGATAATGTTTAATTATCAGGGAACATACAGCAAACAAACTTATGGGGAACAATGCCATCTATGTTACTAGCTTTTCTCCTGTAGGAAGGATGGGTTGCCATTGCTGTATGGAAAGGAAAAGGCATTCTGCATATGTTCAGAGGCACCAGTATTAAGAAATCTATTTGTCTTTCAAGTCCATACATGCTTTGTATGTCCCTTACTTGCATACATTAGTACTTGGAATTTGTATCCCATCTTATCTCAGATTCAGTATAGGTTAAAATATATAACATTAAAGCACAACTCTGTTGGGTTACCTCTGGTTTGTGGTCCATATTCCAAGAAAGCCCAATCCACTCCCAGGCTTACAAAATGGGCCACAGAGTGCCAAGTAAAGCAGCAGGAGACAACGCATAAGGGAAAAGACTACATTGCCATCAACTACTACTATGCATTAGCCAGGAGGTCTAGAATAAACACATTTTATTCTTCAAACCCCCTCCGAAAAGCTAGTCTTTCTCAAGAGCTCTCAAAGGTAGCATATCACTACCTTTGTAGTGGTAGATACAACTGAGCTCTCTAGAAAATCTACTGGGAACCACTTGTATTATTTTGTTCCAAGAACCATATCTTTAAAAATCCTCTGTCTTTTCAAATGATGTTTTAAGAAGTGTGTGCTTTCTGACATTCTTTCCCCCTTCCCCCACAGACAGGTTGTAAGTATAAGTGACTCAAGCTATAGGGGACATCATGATCCTATGGGGAGCTTGGAAATGGACGAATGTATGTTGTTCATAAAAGTTACTTACTTCGTACAAGTCATCTTTCGCATTGTAGTAGACAATATCTGTCTGTACAAGAGAGAAAAAAAGATGTTAGAGGATTAATTTAAAAAAAAATAGAGCCAAAATCAGATTTTTAACTCATTGATTTTGAAGTGAATTTGCTGTGTGTGTGGGTGCGTGCGTGCACATGCATACATATGTGTGTGATAGTTAATCATAATTCTATTGATACGAGTTTATAGGTAGGGCAAAATACTTATCACACAGACTCCCTAACAGAGCAAATTACAGGTTAAGAAAGAAGAAAATAACAATGAAAAAGGATATAAAAGTTGTGTTTCTTTTCAAACGAGAATTTACAAACATTTCAAAACGTTCTGCTGCTGATGTTTCCAAGAAAAGTTTAGAAGAGCGCCTGTTTTGCATGTAACTTCTAACTGAGTTAATTAGAAGGCACTCTTCATCCAGGCACTCTCAGATGAAGTACACTTTCTGGATCCATTTCAACTGGCTTCAGGCCAGGATCTGGGACTTGATTGCCCTGTACAATCAGGAGTCATGAGTATGAACCTGTTGCTTCTCCTGGGCCTCTCAGTGGCGTTCAACACCATCGACTATGATGTGCTTCCAGGCAAGTTGCCAGGATCGGAGTTGAGGGCACCACTTTGCAGTGGCTGACCATGTCCAGAAGGTGGTGCTGGGGCAGAGTTGCTCTGCCCCATGGTGCTTGATCCATGGGGTCCAGCAGGGCTCTATACTATGCTTTTCATGAAACCACTGGGAGAGGTTTGGACTGAGGTGTTAGCAGTGTGGTCACCATACTCAGCTCTACCTCTTGTTCACATCTAATCCAGGTGAGGCGGTCTCAGTGTTGAACTTGTGCCTGGCTTGATGATGGACAGGATGAGGGTCAATAAACTGAAACTCAATCCAGACAAGACAAAAGTACTGTTGGCAGGTGGCTTGTCTGACAGGTTAGGCAGCCATTACTCTATCCTGATGGGATCACCGTTCCCCTAATGAATAGGGTATGCAGTTTGGGGGTGCTCCTGGACCCAGGACTATACCTAGAGGCCCAGATGGGCTTGGTGGCCGGGGGTGTCTTCCTTCAGGTGTGGTGAATATACAACCTTTGCCCCTTCCCAGACAGACACAACCTGGCTACAGTTACGCATACAGTGGTAATATTCAGATTAGATTACTGTAATGCGTATTATGTCAGGCTACCTTTGAAGAGGGTCCAGCAAATGGACCTGGTCCAAAATTGGAACATACAGTTAATAGCAGGTGCCAGCCTGCAGGGCCATATAATACCAATTCTATATCAACCACATTGGTTACCTGTTGGGGTCCAAGCCCAATTTAAAGTGCTTGTTTTAATATATAAAGCCCCAAATGGCTTAGGACCTGGCTACCTAAAAGGTCACCTTTTCCCACATATACCTAGCCACCCATTAAGATCAGAACAAGAGATCCATCTGAAGGAGCCATTTCTCAAGTAGATGATTAGGATGGTGACTAAAAGAAGGTTCTTCTTGGTGATTGCCCTCTATTGATGGAATAGGTTCCCTGCAAAAACATTTCTCTTCTCCAGGAAGAGAATTGTAATAAGAATGATTTTTACACTGATTTGTTAAATTGTTGTTGTATATTGTCCTGCTCACTTGATACATTTTTAATGGCTAAGTGGTAAATTATTCTGGTTTTGTTTTGTTTTTTTACATATAATTGGTTTTATTGTTTTTAGTGTTTGATCATTTTTAATATCAATTGTTTGTTGTAAGCTGCCTAAAGCATTTGTTGGATCTAGTGGGTGGCATACAAATTTATAAATACATAAAATATAGCATTCAGCACAAACTCTGGACCATAATTCATTTCAGATTGAATTAGGATTAGGCTGGTTCTTGTAATGAAATATTTGAAATATTTCTCCAATAAAAAGGTGCCACATGCGTGCCCACATTTTGAAGAGTTTGAACTCTTTAAGACTGCTCCATCAAGAGGCAACTTCCATATAGAATTTAACATTACACAGTGAACATCAGCAATATGACATTTTATTCTCCAACCAATGAATGGGCTCGAAACCGATCACCCACTGAAATCTATAATTCTCCAAATTTTGCAGTAACATGTTCACAAAAATTCATACATTAGGCAATAGGGCACAGAAAATAATGCACCAGGAAAAACACACAACAAATGCCCAAAACAGAAAAAAATATGCACAAAAACAGGAGACTAGGTAAACGAGGCTGCAAAAATGTGCACTTTAGCAAGATGTATACAAAAATATAAGGGTAAATGTTAATTAAGCATGGGTAGAAATTTGTATACAGTCTTCCAAAAGTCATACACTGATGTAGAATCAGTCCAAAACCAACTTCAGTTTACAATAATGAGATGCTAAAATGTACAGGTATATCCATGCCTGCTTCACTCCACCTTAAATACAATGCTTTCTTCTCAATTTACACAGTCAGCTGTGCATTAACAAGGGCTAAGTAACTCATGCTGAGAATGCATGTATGAACTGGCCCTAATTTTCTGACTGATTACTTCCAGTATCTTCAGTGGGGCAATTACAATTTCAGTGGTTCCAAGCCTGTAATCAAACATAAATAAAGGCTTAAAGACTAGGTAAGCCATTTAAGTAATACAAGTTGCTGCTAATAAGGAAGATAATATGTAGAAGGGTCTGTGGAATAAAGGAACACTTCGTTGTTTAATAAAGCGATAAATAAAATTATCGTTAATTATTTGTATCAGTCTTTTGAATGCTTTTAGCCATTTCCCTGTCTTAAACTGGATAACTGAAGACATATACATGCAGACGCTTTTCTTCAGCTTTCATTTGAAAATATCAATTTCTTCACTAGCAATGAAGTGGTTTAAAAATAAGAATGCATATAGAACTAATTCAGCTTTTATTTTCTCATTATTGCTGGCTAATTATTATTTGCACCAAGTACAGCATGGCAAACTTGAGCTCACTGTTTGCCAATACAAGTGAGGAAATTCCTATTGCCACTAGAAACCCAAGCTAATGGCAGCGCATTGATCTGTCTCTGTAACCTGGTGAGTTGTACTCAAAGAAGCAATTTACAACTTAGCATGTGGCTTGTAGGAAAGGACGATAGAAACAAAGTTTTACTATCCTCTTAATTCTATGTTGTTCACTTCTCACTTTGGACTGACATAACACTAGCAGGTGGTTCGCTGTTAATGCATTAAGTTAAACCAGAGCTGATCCAAACATCCAGCCTGCTCAGAGCTAGGGTTCCTCCCTTCACATATCCAAAGCCAAAGACCTACCTTGCAAAATGTTCTTTATTGACCAAAGCATTTCCCAGAAGAACAAACACTCAGAATGAATCTCTGAGCATGCACAGAGCAGTTTGTTGAACCCAATCTAGTATTCAGCTCCAAGAACTTTCCTTATGAGCATGCCTGGGCCTCATCCCTTCAGGAGGGGCCTTATGAAAGCAAGCGTGCCCTCCCTCTGTGTGCCGATCCTCTAAGTGTGCTGCCCTCCTCTACTAATATCATGCTATGGGGTCAAAAGCCATATTCACCTTGTCTGTCTCTGAGAAACTGCCCCTTCCCAAGCCCCCTCCTGATAGCAGTGCCTCTTGGTTATTCTCAGAGGCTACATGCACACCTGCCTTGAGATAATTGCTTCTGCTTCTTTCATCTCAGTGCCTGGAATTGGCTTACATTCTGAGGCTCCCTCTTGCTCCTCCTCCTCTGAAGACTTAGCCAGGCAGCCTTGAGAATGCCTACCTAGAATAACTGTCTTTCTCACCCCTAACACCGTCCTGCAGAATGTCTCAAATTTCAGATTGGTAACAGAAGGAGTGAATACCTACCTAAATATTGGGGAGATGCCTCTGTTGAAAATCTAGTTCAGAAAAAGGGCCCCCATGCTCTAGATGAGGAATGTTTTCCTCCTTGCCAGCAACACCCATTCTTAGCAGTGTCTGACTGAGCCTTGGTGAAACCCCTAAGTTGCATCCCATTTATACTACTGTGTCTACATGGAGCTGCCTTCAAAAGCTGTGCAGAAACATTCACTGATCCAGCCAAACTCTTCACTGGTGCTGGTAATATGGAACACATTTCCCCTTGTAACAACAGTTCAGACAGAACTCAAAGTACTGGCTATGATTTATACATAATCAGGTCCCTATACAATTTGGAACAAGGTTACCTTAAAGACTGCCTTCTTCCATATGAGCCCACATATGAGCCCACCCTATGTGTATGATCATCTGGGGAGACCCTTCTTTTGGTGGTGACCCGAGAGAGGGTCTTTTATTTTATTCTTGCCCTGTGCTTTAAGGGAAGAACTAACTTCTCCCTTCCCTGAGAGTGTCTGAAAGTGCTGCCGAATTCGACCTGACTGGCAAACTGAAATCCCTGAACTGTCAAGGGTTTGAGGATAAAAGGCAGGGTCTTGGGGCTGTCCTTAGGTCTTCATCTACTTGTGTTAACTTGCTTTGGGGCTTGCGAGCTCTTGGATCTTGGCTTGGGATCTTTTCATCAGAAGACTCGTGCTTGGGTAATACGCAGACTTTGTTATTTCTCCTACAGCACTGTTTCAAGGGTTTTCTCAGAACTTTGCAAACTTCTTTAGCCCTTTCCCTTTCTCCTGTATAAATAAACTTTCTCTCTATCTCTAGAGCTGTGTGTGCTTTCTTCCAGGCAAACCTCCACACTGAATGAGCCTTCTGCTGCGGTCAATACATAGTTCAAGTCCTTCGGGTTCAAGCATGCCCTAAAAGGTCTGGGAGCCCCCTGGCCCAGATTCAGGTGGACATAAAGGGCAGTGGTGGTCTACCTGAATAATCCTTTGTCCCTGCTTACAGTGCAGAAAATTTGAGTGACCCCCTAATCCCCATCACTCTCAGCATGATCTAATTTGTCCTGCAGAAGTCCTTTTCAGCTGTTGTATATGATGTTTGTCCTATTTAGAAGGGATTCATTGAAATGAATGAGGCTTAAGTTAGACCCATGAACCACAGATTTCAACCAGAGATCACTTGTCTGGCATTTCCACATTC